TTTCCAATGCAGTTTATTCAATAGAATTGACGAAAAAAAGCTGGTGACTGAAGTGAATAATGTCTAATTGGATAGTATGGTTAACACAATCTTCAGATTATGTAGATAGAAATCGGGAAACAACACTATGTAAACATAAGACTGCTAGCTGAACAAATTTGTTGCTGTTTGTAAATGTTGAAGTGATTAAAATACAATGCACACTTCAATTTCCCAGTGGTGGTATACACATTACAACCAGTAAATAACATTGATCAGAGTTAGACATTACCACCGTTGGATGCCGGCCAAGTGGTCCAGAGGTTAGGCGTTCGCACGCGAGACAGAAGGTTCTGCGCTCAAATTCTGCAAGGTGCAGGAGACGTGGATGAGCATTGCTGATGGGTCACATACCAGGACGAAACGGCCGTCCAGTGCTTCGAGGTTTCTAATGGTGTTCTAACAATGATTGACTGATGATTTCAATGTGAAAACAACACTAATCTCCGTAACTCTGATCGAAAATTGACATTTTAACCATAATAGTTCATTTTTCAAATAAACTGTTTGCTTATCTACTTGATCTAAATAGGTTTAATATAATTTTTCACTCTTTCAGACTATTAAGTTAATCAACATGAGAGGAAATTTCATTTGTATTACTTCATAGTATATAAGTTAATCAAGCAGCAGCAGATAATGTGAAACTTATGCTTAAGATGACTGGCATTTTTTTCACATTTTCATGGCTATCTACTCACATACAACTATTTGTTGATATAAATTCATATTTCAGTTGATTTTCAACATATTCGACATTTGTATTCCCTTCCACATTTCCCAGCTACTCAGAAAATGAGTCACCATGATACAATTTAAATAGTTCAACTGCCATCATCAGAATAAAAAATTTGATGACGACTACGAAAACGTTATTTTCGATCATTCTTTTCAAGCTGTAGTAGGCACTATTATCTTCAACAAACTACTGAATATTAAATACACATTTACTGACACATCAATTTCGAGCAATCTACATTAAGCCTCGTCTTATATTCGTTCAATGAGATATATTTTTTGTTCACTCTATCGTGACATTTATAGGTGCTAGTGTATACAAGAACAACGTATTTTGTTTACTTTTTCGCCTCCTAATCTTCACCAAGCAACTGACCATTTAATGGTAAATTTGACCAATCTCTATCGACAACTTTGAGAGTATATTACTGTTACATTCGTCACTAGGTACGCTTGAACCTATTACGGGTTCACCTTAGTCGATAAACGCGAACGAGACAATGAACCAGCGTCCAGGTAGGCTACCGTGATCCGAAAACGGCAAAACAGAAGTCTTGATAAGCGTAGAATGTATGTTCAACAAACTTAAAATATGTATGTTGGAAACTAGATAATCCAGTATGGTCAGTACGGTCATCATCATCAACGGCAACGTAGAACATCCTACGTATGTAAGTACATCAGTTCATGTTGCCATACCACATTGGCACAGATATATAATTGTCAATTTGAATCCCATAGTAGTAGAGGTAGTAGAAGTATTAGAAATAATCGGAGAGATTTGGGTTCGAAGATATTATTCAAGAAGCATAATTCAGTGAGATAAATTTAGAAAGAGAAAGATAGAAGTGATAAGAAATTCAGTAGGTTAGAATGTCATAGAACACAAAGAATGAATGCACCTACGCCAGTGCAAACGGTTTTGATCCATGTCACTCAAGGTCTCTAACCATCGATTATTATCATCTCGCAGACCACAACCAGGTAGCCGCCTACGGTTGACATTCTAGGCATTGCATCTGAAATACAATTAATGCTTGATTTGTTCATCTCCAAGTTTTCAAAATGCTAAAGTTCAACTGAATTGATAATCTAACAACCATGAAAAGAATAAAATTAAAAATAACAATGATTAATAGGAATTACAAAGTTAGCAGTAAACATTTTCTCATCAAATTTTTCTCCAACCAGTAATTTAAACGTTCACTCTGTTTTTGTTATCGAAACGATTCATCAACAATCCGATTTTCTTTAATTTTTATGTTAAAAATTTCCTCTAAAAAACACTTCACAAATCCTAAAAAAAGAAACAGTATACAACTTAACTGGGTTTACGTGAGTTTTATATTTTAAGTAATTGTGTTGTGGTTTGATAATTTAAAATAAAAAAATACTTTAATTTAGTTAAAATAATACACTTCAATGATTGATATCTGAGTAATTATACGATATTATCATGATTGTTATTCTAAAATAGGGAAGACTTGTCTCAACATTTGAAAATGACATGCGTGACTAATGTCCTATCTTCTCTGGATGGACCTATCAACAATTAGATAAAAATTTACCTGATTGAAAATAAACATTAATTCATGTCAATTTCAATGAATTATTCAACCGCAGGAAATAACATTACAAAAAAAAGATTTACTGAAACTAAACAAATAAGCAATCGATCGATATAATGTCAGAATTTCTTTCTATGAAAACAACTCAATCAGTGATGAACTGATTTCTCATTAAATTCTATTTAAACAAAAATGAAATAAACACTTTCAAACAATGTTCTCATTAGTAGAAAATAATAAATAACAAGAAAGCAACAAATTTTGAAGTAAACATTCTTATCATTATTAAATTACTTTACTTGCTTACACCTGTTACCCCCAATGAAGCATAGGTCGCTGAACATTATTCTCCAATATACTCTGTCCTGGGCTTTCCTTTCCAGTTCCGTTCAATTTTTATTCATTCTTCTCACGTCTGTCTCCATTTCTCGGCGTAATGTGTTTCATGGCCTCCCTCTTTTCCTTTGACAATGAGGGTTCCATGTGAGGACTTGTCTTGTGACACAGTTGGATACTTTCCACCATGTGCTTCCTATCCACTTCCACCGCATCGTCCTGAGTTCTTCCTTCACAGGAATCTGGTTTGTTCTCTCCAACAGTGCGTTGTTGCTGATGGTGTCTGGCCAACGAATACGAAGTATTTTGCGTACACAACTGTTAATAAACACTTTTATCTTATGGATGATGACTTTCGTAGTTCTTCAGGTTTCCGCTCCATACAGTAGAACTGTCCTGACATTTGTATTGAAAATCCTTATTTTGGTTTTGGTTGAAAGTTGTTCGGAGATCCAGATGTTGTTCATTTTTAGAAATTCAACCCTCACTTTGCAGATCTACGCCCTCACATTTGCATCAGACGCAACTTGGTTGTCTATGATGCTGCCAAGATATGTAAAAGTGTTAACGTCCTCCAAAGAATCTCTATCAAGAGTTAATTGGTTGGCGCATGTTGTGTTGTATCACAGAATCTTGCTTTTCCCGTTTTGAATGTTGAGACCTGTTGCTGCAGAAGCTGCTGCTACACTGGTCATCTTCTCTCGCATTTGTTGTTGCGTGTGCGGTGGCAGAGCCAGATAATTTGTGAAGTCCATATTGCCCAGCTTCTCTCCAGATGCTGGCGTCTTCATAATCCAGTCGATCATCAAAAGAAAGAGAAATGGTGAGACTAAGCAACCTTGTCTGACACCGGTCTTGTTTGCTTCTGTGTATTCAGTTTGTACATTGGCTTTCTCTGATGTTGTTCGGCTGATGTTTACTGTTGCCTTCTGGTTCATCCTTTCTTCAATTTCTTCAAGAGCACCAACAGAGATCCATTCCTCGTGATGGTACTTATTGTGGTCCAGAACCTCGTGACATGTTGAAGTGATTATCTCCTTGATCCCTTTCTAGTTGTTCTTCATGGTAGTTTCGTTTACAATAAGTATATCATGCAAAGCCGGGAACCTATTGCTGAGGGCTATCTTGAATTGATTGTTCAAGAGTCTACAACAATCAATTATGCAAAACGACTTCATCCTCTTGCATATGTAACTACAACCAACGGTAGTACTTATTTATGTAAGACTGGATAAAGTAAGAGCAACATATGAAGTGATGAACTGTGATGCGCTTTGTTTATTTGGAACTGATTCACATGTAACTTCCACTCCATAAAACTCGTTTATAATAAGTATTATGTGGAATTCAGTCTTGTTTTCTCGGATTGTATTATGCATATATACAGAATAAATTTACATTAGTAAACGTAATGTAACACTCACGTATCAATAACTAGTTTAGGTC